ATTTTCTTCCATTATCCTTCAGTGCTAGAAAAACTGTCATGTTTTGTTTTTTTTAATTTTGCCCCGAAAGTAACATGATTTCAGAATGGCGGACTAATCTACATGATCGTCTGCTGTCTTTATATAAGGAACAAACATTTCTATGAGATTACACTTATTATCCGACTGGTATTGAGACATCAGCAATTGCTGTTCACTATACGTAAAATTTTATAGTAGCTTTCACGTGGATTCGATTAATAACTAGTACCTATTTATGTCACGTTTTTGTCTTTAAGTCTTTTAATTATCTAAAACTTGAAGAAAATGGAATAATATTGAACAAAAATCTTGTACTGGGTTAAAAGCTTCAATAAGAACTTTCCAAAGACATAACTTAGGATCTAATTTAGGATAATGGTGTGACGGTCTTACACCATGTCCGAAAATGCATATCCAAGCTGTCTTAGGTACATGTATGCTAGGAATTGTCTATATACGCTGCTATAGGTCTTCGCGTAAAGTATATAGAAAAATAAAATTTGAAATTCAAAATAGCGGTAAAAATGCATTTCAATTAAATAGTAAATGAATTAAAAATAACAATATCAATAATAATTATTTAATGTAAATAATACATCGACAAAATTTTTTTTAATACGTTTTCTTAAGAATCGAACAGAGTATGAGAAAACATTAATAACTTTAAGTAAATTTTCGGTACAAACATTTTTTTTATTTAAAGCTAGTTGAATTGAAAGTGTCACAGTGTCGCATTATACAGGATAAGCAACTCTTGTGCGTCTTTCGTATAAATACGGAGTAATTGATCATCATCAAACACATAAATTATGAGACATATATCGTGTTTGGTTAACCCACGTAGGATATGTATTATTAAGAGGGTTTTAAGACGTGTCCTAGTCTTAAAACACATTCGATAAACAGTACTGAATTGTACTGCTACAATGTATGACTCTGTCTGTAATACAAACACTTGATATTAACTAACTAACAATTTCAACTTTAACGTGTATTATCAAAAGGAAAATCTAACATGCGGATGGAAACATAAACGATATTCCGCATTTTTGGTAGACTTTTTTTCTTTGAAATATCAACTGTATTCGCAATGAAATGACAGGGGCAATTTTGTTACATGACTTATCTTATACTTACTTTTATACCATACCTTTATCTTACAATTATTTTTTTTAATTAAGCCAGCTCAATTCTCTACATTTTTCGTTATACTAGTAAGATACAAAAATACTATGTGAGCTAAATGCTCATACAACCTAAGTCGAATGTCTCCGGAAGTTCCCAAGACCTCGTCGCGTGCTAGATCATTGTTTTCGAATTTCTTACCCGGATGTTGATAATGACAAAAACAGATTATAAAAGAGATGAAATTAGTATATAAAGCCTGTGTCAGATTAAACCAATAATTAAACCAAACAAATCATTAACTCCTAATCCAAATCAATACTCTTTAAGTATATCTAAATCAGATATACTTAACTTAACTTATATCTCCTAATAATCAAATAATTAATTAAAACTTTTCACAGTTTATACGATAGTCAATATTATAAGATGGTGACATATTTACAATATATTAGTTAGTGTCATGGACCTCAGCAGGCTATCAACGTTTCCACAGTTTCTTGTTCATCTAAAAATAAAAAATTGATAACATTATAGTCTGAAAATATGAATTATTTTCTTTGTTAAAGAATTGTCAAGTGCATATGTACTTTGTTTTGTTAGAAGTAAATGTGTTATCATCATACAATTATTTTATTTTTATATGAAAAGAAAATATATATCAGATTTTTGGTGTAACTTTTTACCCTGATAACAGCATAGTTTATGATGTCTTTCAGATTGTTATTCTATCTTTGATTTGTATTTTTAATATGTTAATTCTTTAATAAAAATATACATTAATTAAGATTGATAAATAATAAAATGAAATGTGCAATTTATTACTATATAACATTTATATAGACTGCTACTCGTAAAGTTTACCGTCCTGAACATGTATTAAAGTTTCCACCGGACGTTAAACGCCAATCCATAAAAATATTAATAATTCATCTACAGTAATCATTTTTATTGGTTTTAATGAGCTATACAACGATTTTGATTAAATTCTGAATTTAAAAATATAATTATTATTAAATAATGTTGTTGGTAAGATAACAAGCCTGCATTGAGGTTATGATCTGTAACATTCCACAGGTCCATGACATAAATCATAATTTTGTAACTCTAAATCTGTTTTGTGACGAGTTGTTCCCCTTTGAAGGGACTAGTACAGGTTCCGTACCTTAGTTAACGTAAGACGTAATGATAGTGTATGCCAGTATCGTACACGAGTAACATAACTAACAAGTTTGTTGTAAAGAATCAGGGGCCTGTTTATCGAAACTGTCCTAAGATCGGTCCTAAGAATTTCTTAGGACAGAAATTAGGATAAAGTTAGGACCGACTTACGACATATCTCAGCATGCACATCGAAGCTATCTTAGGATTATCTTAGCTAGGGTGTTCTAACCGCTGTCCTAAGTATTTTTGGCGTAAAATAAAAATAGCAAATTAAAAATGAAAAACATGAAAATATTGTATCAAATTTAACCTATAACTATAATTTAAAAAAAGATTAATAATTAAAAAATAATTATTAGTTTTAAATAAAAGGTAATAAATATTTTTTATATCATAATTGTACATTTAAACTCTATGAAACAAAACATAAGACAAAAACATAACTACGTTTTATATAAGAATTGATCAAACTAATTGTAAATAGTTAAAATTTAATATATAATTGGTAAATGAGTGAGCTGAACACGAAGTGTCACGGTTTCATACTTAAAAGTTCAAAGGCAAATCTCGTGCATCTTTTATATAAATACTGAGTGCTTCAACTATTTTATTACTGAAAATAACATACGTGTGAATATGAGCAAGAGACGAAATTCGAATTTTACCGATGCAAAACTACAGACTCTCCTGGACGATGAATTTTGACAATTTGAAAAAAAGGCAGTACAGGAGATTGGAGTAAAAAAAAGGCAGCATGACTATTTATGCCAAAAAAGTCAGGATAAAGTAAAAAAAAAAGGACCGAATAGAGTGAAAAATAAAAAGGAAGGACAGAGATTACAAAAAAAAAGCTGGACAAAATTTTCATCCTACCCTATATTCTTCAATTTGAATAGGATTTTTTTTTAAATTCTGTTTCAGCATAAACTTTAGATTTAAATAGTAAAATCTTGAAATTGCATTGTAACTGTTTTTATTTTGTTACTGAGTTAGTACTTATCAAATGGTGAGGAAAGTGGAAATTTGAAAAAAGGAGTTTGCAATTTTAATATGTTCTTGCAAGTACCTAAGAGTTTTCTTATAGCAATTTCATATTACTACATTTGATTTGTATAAGAATCAATGATACCACGAACTCATATAAAAATAAATTCGAACATATTTCTATTATTTTACAAGATAACTTGGGATGCTTAAATATATATATTCATGAAAACCCACTCGGTAAAATAAAAAGTTCATCTTCAAAATTTTGGTTCGGCGTTGCATTCTAACACTGCAGGGTGCGTAGATATGAAAACCTGACATGGTTGAACACAAATTATGTCTTGACTGTAGAAGATCAGTTAGAAAACAGTCATGAATGCACATTCAAAGACTGTTTTATTCAACTTTCCAATGAAGGAGATTCTCACATTTTACTGATGAAGTATGTTCACTTAAAAGGAAAGGCCTTTCTTGTACTCCTAATATATGATTTAAAACAAAGACTTCAATATCTACGAGTTATATAGATAATGAATTTGTTTTTAATTTGTTTTTATTTTTTCTCTTTTTTCAAAACTCCTCATTTTATATATAATTATTTATTTGTTTTATGAAACGTGTATGTAATTGAACGTATGTTGATACTTGAATGATATATTGTCTTGTCTAAGTATTGCTATCCAGTATAAATCTGAAGATGAGTTGTATGAATATATCATAATAATAAGAATAGATCTTCCCGAATTGAATAATGGGAAAATACATTTAATTTTCAGGTCACTTAAAAACTACCAAAATAAAACAATATTTTGTAGGTTATAAAATATACATAAGGATCAATTGCTCCAAACAGTATATGATAGAAATTAATTTATTGGTTAAAATCATGTTAAGAAGGAAAATAATTTGACGAGGATTAAAATTAATGTCAAATTCATCTTACATTTCTTGAATTTTCCTTTGAAGGCTTTTATAAATAGCATAACTTATATATACATTTGTATATACACAATCTAGGATTGGATGTAACAATATACTAGTAATAATTATATAAATAATTTACATATATATAGAGAGTTCAATGAAACAATATGATATTTAATAATGAAACAAATCAGCTTGAAAAAAAATCCTTTACATTAAAGGTTGTTCCGTCGAATTTAAAAGAAGGATTTAAACTCGGATGCGTGGTGTGGTGGTTTTTGCTCTCTCTGGTTTATTTGAGGATATTCTTTTTTATTTCTAATCGGTTTCTTATCCTTTTAATATCTGTTTTAAGAGATCAACAGTTAATGTAATTTTTTTATAAATAAAACTTAATTGTCACTTAAATAATTTTATTAAATAATAAAATTCCACTGCAATGAAACATAATTGAGAACAATGCTGTGTGTGTGCCTTACTCTATTCGGCGCAATTAAATCACTTTAAAATATAACAGAATCATCTGATAAAAAAACAGCAATAAATTCAGTACAAAGACTTTTCTCCGCCCAAGTAGATCGATATACTAAACATACAATGGCTGACAGCTGATTTTAACCAATCAGGTAACAGTTTAGATGAAATGTTATATTTCAATTGGATCACAAACAAAGAATAGAAATTGACGAATCAATTTCAATGATTACAAATAAGTGATAATTAATTTTTGTAAACGTATTGTCGATGTGTGAAATACTGAATACAGGTATTATTGCATGATTTCAGATTAGTTTTCATCATTGTCAGCTTCACAGAGGAAGAAACAACACTATAACTGAAAACAATACAAAGAACAAATTATGGATAAAAATCCTTCTACAAGTGCTAAAACAACGAAAAAATCCTTTAGCGTCGAGAGTATACTGGGAACCAATGATACTTCAAAGGATTCATTATTCAACTCATTAAAAAAGCTCGAAGAATGTAAGTATATTTTTATTAACTTTTTTTTATTAATATTATGAGTTCTTTTTCCATTCAAATTTGAATCAGAAAAATGAAATAATTACCTTGCAATAAATAAATTAAATGAATAAATTACGTTTATTGTTTAAATGCAATACTTAAATAAAACAGTTAAAAATTAATATAATTTTAAAGATTAAATTCTTGGAGAATCATAATAGAATAACTTATAAATATATTCTTATAGTTTAGTTTATGTGACAATTTTTATAACTTTTCCCAACTCAATTGTGTTATTTTCTTAAATGTGTCTTGTCTTCTCATACCATTGTCTGTATAAAACATTCTAATATAGCCTAATTTTTGTTATTTTGTTTTCTTGTATTACTCGTACGTTTAACGTTGTCCTTTAGGTGCATTACTATATTTATATAATATATTTACAAATGTATTTAATTTCAGCATCAGCTATTTGCCATGGATTACAGAGTCCTTTGTCTTGCTCTAGTAGGTCAGATTTCCGTGGTTCCAGCGGTGGTTCCTCTGACGGACATTCAGAATCCAGTCCAGACAAAATGGACGATTCAGCAGACAACTATCAATCTGATTACGAAAATGAAGAAATGCGAATAAATGCAGATTTCGATAAAAGTTCTTCTGACAAAGACGACGATCGGAGCTTCAATTCAAAGCCCAGAAAAATCAGACGGAGCAGGACTACCTTTACAACATATCAGCTACATCAACTAGAAAGAGCGTTTGAGAAGACACAATACCCAGATGTGTTTACAAGAGAAGAATTAGCAATGAGACTTGACCTTAGTGAAGCTAGAGTACAGGTACTAATATATTCTTTATTAAATATACAATTGACAATTACTTGCGTAGACTTTGTTTACGGTTTTAGAATACCCACATGGTATGAACTTTATACCTAGATAAACGCCAATAGAACATCAACACAATCAAACAAAAACAGAAGATATCTACATTTAGGCTTCCCTTAACTCATGTAAATCATTTCAAAATAAAAAAAAATGATTTAAACAATAAGAACTTCTGTTAAATACTTTTGTACAATGACTGGCCAAAACCGGCTCCTCATCAGTGGATGTCTTTGTTCATAGAATGTATAGTTTAAGGATCTTTGTACCGATGGTAGATCTTTGGTAGTCACTGTTATTTACAACCTGTCCAGTCTTGCGTCGATTTAGAGCTTGACATATATGATATAGACACATGTCTATCGCCAAAGACCGTGAATTGACCTTTGATTTTTTTTTTTTGATTTTCACTTTTATTGAAAACTTTGATAGGTTGATGTCTGATAGACGCTTTGTTTACACGTCACACGCATAGTTAATACATCATGGATTGTTTGACTCATCGTGTAACAATATTTTTCATAAGCAACAACTGTTAAGATGACAATACAAAACTGATGTTGATCTCGTTTTAAACCAAATATCTGTTAATCATGCTAATATACAGAAGCTTCCTGTAAAAGAAACGCGTACATTGTATTAAAAAAAGGTGGTATAATGATTGTGGAAAAGGGTAAAGAAAAAGAAAGCTTTGACTATGATAAGGGGCATGTTATCGAAAACATACTTTTTATGCTATTATTTCTTGTGTCGTTGGGTTACTGTATCACTTTATTCAAATTCTAAATAGAATAATTGTCTGCTTTATATATCTGCTATAATATCAATTGTAGATAAAATCAGCTCTTTGATGTTAAAATGCGTTTTTTTTTTGGTGTGATGGTTTTATGAAAGAATGGAAGTTTTTTTCCCTTTTTTTGAGAATTCTGAAGTCTTTAGTTGTAAAATTTAAGAGCTAATATGTCATATGAAAAATACCAAAACGTTCTTTTTGGTTTTGACTATTTTGATATTAAGAAATTGGTATATGACTTTTCTACCAAATAAGTGTCCATTCTTTTCTCGTTTATTTTCATAACGACATAAGGAAATGTCATACATTCCATGAATTCAAGTGTGTATATTTTATAAATATATCAAGTTCACGTATCATACAAATCGACATAATTTCAATGTTAAAAGAAGTTAGTATCATTTAAAAATTTCTATAATAAAATCAAATATTGCGGTTTTATTAAAAGGTACCAAATTTAAAAGCCGTTTTAATTTAATCAATGGTCAAAGTTTATTTTTTTACTATTGAAATTTGTCTTGTAAGCTTAGATTGTAGCTAACGATGGAAATTTGTTTTTAATTGGCACTGCTTTGTTTGCATGCCACATTAACTAATTCGATTGTTTATTTATTTTGACACGGTTGTTTGTTACAAGTTGCTGGTCATAAGCCTTTTAGATTTGACTTTCTGATTAGGGTTTTACATGTGGTTTCTAGTAATATCGGATAAAATTGTCCATTTAAAGACAAATTAACAGAAAAGCAAACAAGATTTCATTAAAATACACAAAGAGGTGTTAAAATGTCGAAAATATTAACACATTTCTAAATCTGAAATGCAAACAAAGAGAAATATGAAAATTTAAAAAAAAAAACTAATATCGCGATAATTTTTGTATATACAACACATACAACGTAACCTTCTATTTTCATTAATCGTAGCGTTTTTTGATCGTAGAAAAGATCCTTTGGTTATAAAAAAAATGATAAGAAAAAAAAGGTATTCTATATTGACTCTAGCTTTGGTAATTGTATAATCTGAGTGTAGGAGAAGTTGGAGTATTACCCGTAATCAGTTATAAATTTGGCTATTTCTGCTTTTACTACTTCAAGCATCTACGAATTCCATTGTTTATTTTTTGTTAATTTAAATATTTCGTAATGAGCGTAATTAAGTGTTTTATTAAACTTCACTGATCTATTTTTACATAATATAGTTTTGAAAGTATTGACAGCAAGGTTTACTAGTAATTTGTTTATAAGCCGGTGAATAAAAACCTAGTTTAAGTTTATGTAAGGATTGTTGACTGCAAAATTAATTTTAACAGTTAAATAATTTTTTGTCACAGTCTCAAGTAACAATTATATTAAAGTCATATTATTCCTGTATCAAAAAGAATCAGCAGATGTAATCAGCTTTATAACCAGCACGATATATTAATGCTCTTAATTTTCCTCGGAAAAAGGAGATTAAATACAAAACCTCTATGTGGTAATCAGATGCTACAGACAAATGCCGCAACAAGTGGATTATAAAACATGTAATTATCTGTTATCAGCATTAAAACTCATTTCCCACTATTGGATTATACAAAAATACCCAGCATGCAACCAATTTAAGACATTCTAAATGACATTGCATTGTTTCATGACTTCTATGATCCAGTGATCACAGTTAGAATTTTCACAAGTTTTCCTCTATTTAATAGATATTAAACTCGCATTTTGATGAAATTTGTCAGCCTTAATTTTCTACAAATATTTGTATTACGTGGTTAATTCGGTCCCCGGTGTTGTTTTGTATTTTATGTCTGTAGTATCTTTTAAGGGTTTTAACGCCTGTTGTGAAAATGACGTTTGAAAAGAAAGACGTCTTAAGTAGCCAGTTGGAGTTAAATATCTTAACCTTACTAATTACTTGGCCATTAAGAAACTTAACCGTATGCCCGAATTAAATAAGGCTTTAATTTTCGTCATTCGTTCTATATTTATCTTTATATCTACAGTCAATGTCTAATTGGTAACATGTAGATAATAATACAAATACATACATGATTATAATTAAAAAAAAAGAAACGAACTAAAACCAACGTACTTTCTTTACTCAATTTATTTGAATACAAATGTATATAACAGTGTAGAAATAATTTGGCAAATGTTAAGAAAACGACAATATTGTTTTTTCACTCTTTTTTAAATTGTGAAATGTTGCAATTCATACGGCAAGACATTTTGACCCATCTTTAAAATATATGATACAATATTAAGCTTTTCTAGAGCACTAGATTAAAGAATACTACGACTCGGCTTCCTTCTTTAAAAATTCTTTTCTTTTGGGAGTTAATTGTAATTGTTTATTCATCAGCTACACAATCTTACAAATAAAATTTGGCTTCTTCTGTTAATACTATTTCATCATGATGTGCATATTTAAAACTATTTTTTGATTGGGAATATTTAATTTGTTTCGTAATCAACTTAATGTTAGCTTATAATTTACATTCCAATTCCAAATGTTGGGCGAAATTATTACATTTTGAACATTGCTACATGCACAAAGTTATTAAAATTGTTATTAACGTTATTTACAAAATTGTCAAAAGCTATTGAAATTTGGAAACAGAACCTTTCATGTTTTAAAAACTATAATTTATATCCTTTATTGATAAAATATAGAATAAGTTTCTTATTGATTGTTCGGAACAAAGATGCCTATTTAGAAACCGTTTATTATTCAAGTCTATTAATAATTGGTGTTTGACTTAATGAATGGTGTATCATAAGATACCAATTATAATGCCGCCAGTATAGTTCTTTTGAAAAACGTTAATTATATAGGCCTTGAAAAGACTTGGGTGAAGATGAACATAGTTGGAGGACAGTAGACACAAGTCTGATTGCAAGAATGACTTTCTTCATTTTTAATTAGAATAAATTTATAACACTTATGTGATTGAAGAATCAAATTTAAATAGAAGTAACTAAAATGATATTGTGTATGAAAAAAGGAAATATAAGAAGAATGACTCCGTTCGTACGTCGCGACCGTTTCAATACACAGAATGAAACGCTTCGAGTTCTTAATCGAATGGAAAATTGCTAAATAGAAGTTTCATTATTTTGTGCTCAAAGAAAGTAGCCAGTTTAACACTTGAAAGAATTACCCCTCTAGCTTTCAATAAAGCCTTTATAAACAAATAAATTTGCACATTAGCCGTAAAGAGGTCTAAAGAACGAACAATATTAAACTTTAAAGAAAAGGATATATATTTGCCATCGGCAGCAAGATTTAATTACAACTGCAACGCTGTTTGCACTTTCCAATAAAGAAGATATTAGTTATCTTCCAATACAAATTGATTCAAGTATGGCCCTCCGGTTTGTAATCTTCGGAATAAAAACAATTTCTTGATCAAAAAGTTACTTAGAAGGAAATTATTTTCTATAAAGTGGCAAATTTAGCCTAAAATCAAATGTTTCTTAATAAATAAATGCTCTTCAGCAACGAAATGTGTAAACACAAGACATTAACTGGTTTGATATGAAATGACGTTTTCTTGTTCGCTTGAACGCTTTAGTTAACAATTCAAAATAAATGAAAAGACAAGATTGTTTTTGGTAATGAGCAAAAGAAATGAAAGGCGTGATTTAATTTTGGAAATAATTGTGACTATATCTTTTTAACAACTGTTTCCATCATAAATAAGTTTTCGAGAAATTTGAAAGATCATTTATCAATGAAATTGTGATAAAATTATTACGGACTGTTTGTTTTCAATCATATTCGACGGTTTGTCTATTACTGAAATAATCAAAAATAAATTGTCTACATCCTGTTGAACACTGTCAGTTTTTCATTTCATTTAGAACATGAAATCATCCACAAAATTAGATCAAAAACCAATAATGCTTTAAATTGTAGTTTAATAGATCTAAAATACAAGTTAAGTATGGTCTTAGATTTTCACAGTTGGGAATTTCGGAGCAAGAGCTGTATTTATTATTCAAACAAAGTTTTTTGAATGTTCGACTTTTCTGCCACTTGACTTGTTTATATATTGTATAATGTTCGACTTTTCTGCCACTTGACTTGTTTATATATTGTATTTTGTATAGTTAGTGAAGATTTGTTCTTCAGTTGAATTAGTTATTCATGTGAAATATTTTATTCTGTAGGTCTGGTTTCAAAATAGAAGAGCAAAATGGAGAAAAAGGGAAAAGGCACTTGGAAGAGAAAGTCCAAATTTTCTACAAGGAGAAACTAACTCTTACGCCGATCTTCCGAGTGGACAACTTGGTCTTGCTTATCCAACATCTCCGGAACTTTTCTGGTCTAATCGTATGACTCATCTTACAGGTGTCAACCCAATGATGGCAATTCATCAAGGCAATCTTAACCTTGCCGCCTATTATATGCAGGGTAAAATTCCATTCGGAGGTCTGTTTGCACATCACGCAATGAATTCAAATGCTTTTGGTGTTCCCGGTATTTTCCTTGGAGGAGGAGCCCAACGGTTACCATCATCAACCTCAACTTCTCGACTTCCGTTTGAAACAGAATCGTTAGACATGCGCAGATCAAGCATCGATAAACTACGTATGAAAGCTAAAGAACATTCCGCAAACATAGACAATGTATCACCGCCACCAATAAAACGGGAAACCAAGTCATGAATCATCTTTCCTTGTAATAGCAACAGTGACATGGTACTTACAGCAGCAAGATGTCTATAATTGTTTTTAACATTTTTTTATTGGAATTTTTGCGAAGTAGCATTTCATTTAGTATTCTAAAGAATACAAATATTGCATTGAACAATAATTGCCCGTAACATAGAATGAGACGATTTAAGATGTGTTAATTATTAGTTCCATTTGTCAGTGTTGTTTTCTTCATTAAATAGGACTGAAAAGTCCTCTCCATTCACAGACTAGTGCATAGGTTTTTTTTTATCATATCATGTGCACGTAAAAATGACGTGCAATTGTAATTTGTTATTGTTATTTATTTGAAAGTACAATTGTTTTACTTAAAACTATTCATTTTCTTTGAAATATTTTGTTTTACTGAATAGAAGAAGTTAAAAATGTTTTATTATCAAATGTTTACCGACAATCCTTTACACGTTCACAAATATATCATTTTTTGTGCATATTTTGAATTAAAAATCATATCATAAGTTGTTAACATTTTGTTATTGTATTATTCTGAATAAACATGTCGTAGTGCCAATATATTTTGTTTAATGATGTCTCAGATATCCAGCATCTTATCTTTCAAAATCCGTCTGATAAATTAAGATGCGTAGAACAATGACGACTATAAAAGCCAGCGTCGTACGAATGAATCCCTACACACAAGCTGAATTCATAGAAATATATCGCTTGCATATCCGACATTTACCATATTTAATGATTTGGGACTTTGATATATTTATCTAAATTGGGAAACAAGAAACCAAGGGTTACAATCAAAAACTATAAATCGAAAAATAGCTGACGATACCATGATAAAAAAAAATTATACAAATAGATGATAAAAACAAAACAAAAAACAATAGTCCATTAATGAATTAAGAAACACGAATCACAATCACAAAAAAAAACAAACAACCTCGTTGAACTTAGGTGCTCCTGAAGATGAAAAAAGTGACACCCATCGTGCACTTCGTGACAAGTAAACATTTGGTGATATGAATATTAAGGATTAGGAGGACGTGCTCGGGACTGCGACAAGTGGAACATATTTATGGTCATCTGTGATAGACATAGTTCACAATAGTCAACCAAATCATGATATCGTTATAGAATGTTTGGAAGAGATGAATTGGGAAAAAAATCATGTATATCAGTAGAAAAACTGATAAGAAAAAGTGTTGTCACTGAAACGATGTTGGTAATTTATTTGTGGGATTTGAATCGAAAAAAAAATACAAAACAAAAATACATAGAAAGGCGCCCAGTCCGACCTGTATCAACGGAGATCCCTTATAATTTAGAGGAGAAGAGATACTGTGTTCCCTTTGACTTTGACAAAAAAAAAATTGGGACTTATAAATAAGACACGTTGCTAGAGGTTTCTCACGTGCTAACAACATTAGCTGAGATGAAATTTTAAAAACATAAAGAGAAAACGGTCGAACAAATGAAACCAGTTTGTGCTGACTTATCATCCTAAATTTGACAAGTTATCACACCCTATCTGCGAAAATTGAAAAACATCTTAAACTATCCAATATCTTCCCCTAACCACAAGTACTGGCTTTTTATAGGACAAAAAACCTTAAAAACTTGCTGGTGAGAGCTGATTTATCCTCTAAAACAGGCTTTTCGTATGTGGGCTTTTGCAACAGTTGTTGAAACAAATGATGTCGGACTTGCAAGCAAATACTGAATACCCAGACTTTTAACCGTCTCTCAACTAGTACGAAACACACCATATATTGCAATGTTAATTGCAAGACTACAACTACTGTATATCTTCTACAGTATAAATGTGATACTAGTAAACAGTATGTTGGTGAGTTAGAACAACCATTTCACAAACGTATGAACGGCCACCATAATGACTATAAAAGTCAGACCTTCCTCTCAGACAACAATTGAGATCACTTGGCCACACTAAGGAAGATCTAAATCGATTGACTATTACCAGCATAGACCACAACACTGCTTGGTCTAGGGAGGAGAGAATCACTCGGGAAAGATTTTGGATAAGCAAATTAAAAATTTTGGCTCCAAATAGGATCAATAAAAAGGTGAAGTTCAAATTGCGCAGTGTTAACCACCGCAATTGAGTGCGTTAGATTCATTTGGGATGCATGGATACGTAGTTTCGTTGTAAATATCAAATTTGCGTGAAATTTGAAATTTTAGAATCCGAAATATTTATTGATACATGTATTTACTGTTTCCTTTTTTAATATTGGTGTTGTTTTGTACACATTTTATACTTAGATTAAAAATCTTGACAAAAAGATGGATATATCAAAGACGTAACTTTATTTCACAAGCATTTTACGTCCAGATAAGCCAGGACAACCAAATGATCACAAACAAAACTAACTGTTACAGTAGAATATTTCGATTCTGCAAAATAAATGTTCAAATAGTACAACAAGTAATTACCAAAATAGGTTCGGTGAAAACAAGTTTTCTTCAGCGTTTTTCTTCTGGTACACATCAATATGAATCACTTCCCAACATGAACGGAATTGCCCCAAAACACAACACTCAAAAGACTGAAAAATAATAACCCTCAATCTAAGATCAAGAAGGGTATCATGTAGGTATGCATTCCAGTGGATGAAATAACTTTTGAATAGCTGTACTATAATAATAAAGTATTACAGTTTTGGCTAAACAAATATAACCTTATCATTTGATAGTTTCATATTAAACGTCGAAATTACAAATTTTGAAGATTTGACATTTACATGCTTATAGATAAAAAAGAGCTGAACCATCGCCCTTAAATATATTAACACAGTGAGTGTATTTTATGTATTTTTCAATGACAAAAACTATATTTTGAGTGACACTTGTGACACTTGTGCTGTATGTTAATTTATCCAAAATTTTCTTCGAAAAACATATTTTTGCAAAAACTGGGAAAATCTCGCTTTTGACGTCACATTAACGTTTTAAAGTTCTATACCATAAGGCCAATATTTTTGTGTTTGTGATTTCTAAAAATTCAAAAGGCCATAATTTTTTGCCAATGGAAAAATAAAAACAATTAAGATTACTTTGACGTACAGACACATATTTTTGTTTGTATGAAATATACCCAAATAAGAAGTGGTGACAACAGCAGTATTTAATTTAAATTAATGTGACGGGTTTGTTTTGATTGACGTCATCATTCAAAGTTGTAATAATTTCCTGTTTTAGAACAACCTTTACTTAGAATAGTATGCATTAAGGTGGTACCCAACACCTTGACTAAAATTAATTTGGCTCGTTTAATTTTCATAAAATTTTGACAAAATGTTTACTTTGACCCTTTGACAAAAATATAAAAATTTCAAAAAATTTGAACCAACTACTTTATCAGAAATTTTTTTTTGGTTATATAGCAGTTTGACAAACACTAATTTTGATCATTGAGAAGCTTAATATTTCCTTAACAATACAACGTGATTAAAACGTTTAGCTGATTTTTACAGAGTTATCTCCCTGTAGTGTTAGGTACCACCTTAAGGAAGCAAAATGTTGACATTCATTCAAACCATTTTACTGCCTAACTGTATATAAATAAGCTAAAAGCAAAATAAGAATAAATCTTACGAGTTTACCTATCTAAAATAACAATAATGAGATGTGGTAAGATTGCCAATGAGACATTAATTTCATCCACCAATCAACTATAGGTTATCGTACGGCCTTCAACCATGAAAAAAACAATTTAGTCAGCTTTAAAAGACCCGACATGACAAAATATGAAACGATTTAAACCACCTTAAATCTGATAAACAACAGCCACTGAATTACATGCTCTTGCATGTGACACGGTTAATATAAAATTAAGAAGATGTGGTATGATTGCCAATGAGGCAACTTTCCACAAGAGAACAAAAAACATAGAAATTAACAACTAAAGGTCACCGTACGGTCTTCAACAATTAACAAAACCAATACCGCATGGTCAGCTATTAAAGTCTCGAAAAGATAAATATACAACAATTCAAACGGGAAAATGTTTATAAGCGCACAGCCCTCTCCTGACCTTGAACAATGGCCCAAGGTCTTGAAACATGCCACTTATGGACCTCTAAGAGTTGTTACCAGGGTTTTGAAAAACTTAACAGTCCCTACTCGAGGCATCGATCCAGAAGGGTCTATTTCTACACTCCATTGTGTCCTTGGAAATGAATGGGCAGCTTGATAAGGGACTATGGTAATTTTATTATGAAACGGCACTAGTAATAGTATTAGAAAACGAATATTAAGAGATAATTTCAATTGTGTTAGCACTTAGTAAGCCAGTTGAAATGCATTTCTTATTAGACCGAAATCTAGCAACATAAAATATTTTAGATTACAATTAGCATCACATTTCTTTTGCTTACTTGAATCTGCAAAGTGCTGTACACTAGTTTTTGAAATATATCTAATTATTTAATTCCCCGAATGTGACCTACCGAATTAGACTTATCACCGGGTTTGTACTAACATGAGCAACACGACCTTAACACGGAGCACCTGAGATCACCCCCAGTTTTTGGTGGGGTTCGTGTTGCTCCGTCTTTAGTTTTCTATGTTGTGCTTTGTGTACTATTGTTTGTCTGTTTGTCTGTTTGTCTGTTTGTCTGTTGGTCTTTTTCTTTTTTAGCCATGGCATGGTCAGTTTATTTTCGACTTATGAGTTTGAATGTCCCTTTGGTATTTCGTCACTCTTTAACAAATATATTGTTCAATAAAAAACAAACAAGAGGTTCTTTTAGTCTGGATCGCTCACCTGGTAAAATATGCCATCAAGTATGTTTATTATCCTATTATCGTTGACCTTTTGTATATTCTGTATTGCTGATCATTTTTTGCTGTTTTAAAGTTTTTATCTATATTTTATAGTTCTTGAGATAATTGTCAAAAACTTGAAAATTCGTTACAAATCGTCATTTTAATATAAAAATAAGAAGGTGATTGCCAATGAGACAACTCTCCACCACAGACATAATAAAATAGAAGCTAACAACTATAGGGACCGTACGGCCTTCAACTATGTCAAAACCCATACCGCATATTCAGCTAAAAAAAAAACGAAATGACAAATGTACAACAATTCAAACGAGAAAACTAAAGGCCTGATTTATGTACAAAACAATGAACGAAAAACAAATATGATATACAGCAACAAACGACGACCACTGAATTACAGGCTCGTGACTTGGGGAAGGCACATACAGAGTGTGGCGGGGTTAAACATGTTTGCGGGCTCCCAATCCTCCTCTAACCTGGGACAGTGATGTAACAGCACAACATGTGAACAAACTATAAAAATCTGTTGAAAATTAATGGCTTGACACATCAGATCGATATAAAGCAGAAAAACAAGTAACAAAAACAAAGACCGGACGTGGCAGCTTGTATTTATATATCTCTACAACATAAAGGACACTAAGTACAGATCTGAGAGTACTCACAGTTACTGACAGCTAGTTCAAAGCCAATAACAACTGATAAAAAAATCATCTTTCTAAGACTAAAATATCAATCAGTACACA